AAAAATTTCACTTTCATAATGTGTCATCCACAACCGTGAGTAACCACTACAGAACAAGTCTAAAATATCGTTAGTTCTAGTTTAGGAAAACCAAAGAAAATCAAAATTTTAAATTGAATTCAGGCATCTATGAATTGTTAACTTCTCGAAAGCTAGAATTCGATTTCAGTGACAATTAAAGCATCATCACAGGAAGCTTTTGAGGTGTATTCGGCTAATGGTCATGGAACGCGATGTCCCCACTGATTCATTACCAGGCGTACAAATTGAATGTATATCCTACCAATCCACAAGCCGAACGCTTACCTTGCACTTTTCCGGCAGATTCCTCTCCTCGTTCAGCTCTTAAATGCTCCAGAAAATCGCCAAAGATGTCCTCAGCAGGCCCATATATATCAGCCATATCAAAAGTTGTCAAACCCGCATCAAAATACTTGAACATCTCTCGAGAGGCCTTGTTTGGATTAATCGGTCCATGACTACCAGAAACTTGCCACATTCCGTTTAAAATTCTACGAATTTCCAGGCCATTTTTAAGGCGATAGAACGGTACCCTTGCCATTATAATAGCAATTTCCTCTAGTTGTGACAAAACAAAATTTCACCTCTTCGACTTTGAAACGGTAACAGCACCGGCTGCTCCAGATTTGAAACCAGTCCTCTCACGGAGGACCCAAAGTCACTCACAGTCACGCTTCACCTGCGCCAGTCTAAAGCAACATGATCTCGAGATCATGTTGGTCTAAAGAGGGTTTGATGGTCAAGATTGACTTTCCTTGGGAGATTGGAACGGCCATTATTTGAAGTTTTGCCGAAGATTCCGAGAAAAGAGACGTAAACTTCATTGGAAAAATATTCATTTTCGTGATGAAATGAACTTTGTGTATTTAGATGTTCAATAAGGTCAACAAGGACGGTACTTCATATCGTCGTTGAGACCGGAAATAACATTAACCGGAAGCGTTGTTGACCTTGATCGCGTTTTGGGTTGCTAAGAGACCAAGACGCGAAGAAAAACTAAGGAAGTTTTTATTTACTTTACTTTTTGATTGTAGTTTTAAAAGCTTCGTATGTCTGAGGAACTTCAGGTTTGGAGTAATATCCTTTAACATAATAGCAAGGAAAAATACCACTGCTGAACGCAACATAACCTTACTCAAATACTTTTGAAACATTTGTTCGTCACAGAACTCATTCAAACTATCAGGGAGATCGAAATGCTTACAAACGCGGGTAGATTTATAGACAGAAATCCCGGAATAATCCCGGTAAGTTTACGAGGAGATATATCAAAGAAATGTCTTTTTACCTAAACAACCTAATCCTCTAAAGAAGGCGAGCTGAAAGTTGCAAAACAGAATCAATGAGATTATTGAGACCAGCCACAGATAAGGAGTGTCTGTCGTTATGAATTTCGTGGGTTAAATTTTCCCTGAATTTTACTTTTCATCCTTTTCCAGGCGGGAAAGCTTTTCGATGTTTCAGGAGAGACAGCCGGTGGTAGCCTCCAAATACCACAGCGTGTAAGTTGGAAGCGAAATAATGTTACGCATTACTGTGTTATTTGTTAAACCGTATACTCATGGATAAAGTTGCAGTTTTTATATAAGTTCATGTTTCAAAAATGTAACTTTACTAAAACAATTTGTTTCAAATCGCGAATTATCTTTAAAGGATACTAGACCAGAAACTGTTCGAAAGTTTAGAGGAACAACACAACCTGAGGCGGGCAAAGAGAGAGTGTTTTATGGCAGAGCAAATGATCCAGACGTAGCCTCGAGGATTACGCATGGAGTCAACACAAAATCTTCCCTTGTCGTATGTATCATATCCTATACGATATAAAAGTTTTAATTATCTCTCCCAAGGTAACTTTTAATCGTGTAGTTCCCGTAAAGTAATTGTATTGGTTCATTGTTTGATAGAAAGAAACTGTTTCGAGCGAGCAGTGTTAGTTGCAGATCGGCTTTCATATGTAAATGAACAGCTGTTAGAACATACGCTTGAACAAAAACGTTTTTCCTTGCTAAATCCTCTGAAATTATGAGCTTGGAAGTTCCTTTCCCTCGTTCTGAAGTTAATGAAACCATGAGCCTTTATCCAGAGTAGATTTTTTCATCATTAGACAAAGCACACACAAAGCTTTACGTTGAGAGTAAAAATCCAGTGCGTCCTTAACCAATTATTTTCTTTCTCTACCTGATTTCTGCAACAGGCGGGCCACCTCGTAAATCCTTCAAGGAAAAGTCTTTTCTCTCAACGGATGCTTGAAAAGAAAGAAAGCATTTATGCTAGCAGGAAAAACGCTCCTCTAGGTAATTTTTCAATATCTTACAATCATTAAATGACAGATTTTAATTTTTGTTGTTTATTTTTAAATTTTCCCTGTTTTCATGAGTTTCATGTTATCTGTATTCTGTACAATCAGGGAGGTGTCATGACCAAAAGCCAGGTCTGCCTGATGGTGTTGGACCAACTGATGTGACTTATGGAGTCAAAACCATCAAAGGTACTAAATTTTAATATCACAATCAATATATCATACATCATATATTAATTTATAAATATATTATTATCATTTTATTAATTTTTTATGTATGAATTCTTATGCTAATATTAATTTGAGATCTGCACATTGGCAATAAATTCTCAATAAACAGAATATTTGAAGTACTAAAATATGATTATTTTTGTCTCATTTAGATGGAAGTGCTGGAGAAATGGTCAGCCCTGCAAAAACAGCAGCCCAAGTAAATGCCGAGTCATTGGAGGGAAAGGAACTATACAAAGTCAGCCATAATGACTTTGATGTTGGTATGTTAAGAGATGTTTGTTCATCGTTATGTACTGACTTGAAACTTGTTAGATCAAGGTGGCAACTTCTTCTTGATAAGTTTGAATATTCTTGTCACTCATTTGCTGGATAATGTAATAGATATTATAAGAAGAAGTTACACAGTAATCACCTCTGGAAGTAATAGGGTTAATTCTCCAAGTAGAGTTGTAAAGTTCCCCACCCTGAAGATGATTTCCTTCATTTTTCACAGGTGAAATGTTTGATAGAAAGTATGACTGGAGTAGAATACCAAAGGAGAGCAAATTTGGTGTGGAAACACCACACAACAATGATGGAATCCATGTAAGAAAAACTCTCAAGTGGCTTCATGAGACACAACAGTAAGTTTGATTAACATGAGCATGTACACATTTAACTATTAACTGAACTGGTTTAAAAGAATACCTTCTTCAGTTATGTATAGGTAATAACATGATTTTGAATGCAATTTGGTGTAAATAAGCACCAGTAAATCTTGAAAGACAACAAAATTTCCCAAGCCCACAGGGGGAGTGCAATTTGTTGTCTTCAAAAAATTTCTAAGTGCTTATTTAAACCAAATAACACAAGAAATCATGTTTTTACTTGTTAATGATTTACATGAAAAAAGCATCACAGTAAGTCAAGACACACAGAATTTTGACAGAGTACGTGCATGCACTATTCATGTTACATTTGTTGTTAAATGAAAAATGCACTCATTTTCAGCCAACCATATGTGTGTAATTTTTTCATGTACATCAATTTCGATTATATCCTTGTACTTATACTAAGCCATAATCATATACCTTCATTACATATATTGTTTTTCTATTCCTAAAATTTAATTTCTATTAAGTTTAAGCATAATTTACAAATATTTCTTCAGCAATAATCTTACAAAAGTAATGATAAAAATAATCATTTTTTGTAATAACCCTTAAACACATGCATATCTAAGTCATCTCCCTTTGTGCAGAGAAAAGGCAACAAAGATTGTCTCAAAACGTGTTGACGATTTCCGTGAGAGAACCCAGCCTCAACTTGGCCAAGTACACGATCCGATTAAAGACACCCTCAGGGTCCAACCAGATCATGCCTTTGGGGTAATGATTAAACCTGATGAGTATGGAGCAGGAGACCTGATCCACATGCGTGTTCCTGGAAATTATCTTAGAGGGCGTGACAGGGAGAGGGGAGTGCTTGCGGCTGTAAGACATCATTTGAAGAAGGCAAACTATCACAATTTCCATGACCTGAAAGCTGCATTTGGATACTATGACAAGGTGAGGAAGATTTTTTAAACAAACAGAGAGGTAACTAATCCCAAGGGGTATCCATGTAAAAGGGAAACAAAAATGAGAGCAATAATAAAATTTAAACTTAGTCATTCCACATGTACTGACTCACTTGATTGTTGAGTTGAAGTGTAGCTTTTGATTTAATATGTTCAAACCATAAATAAATCATCACTATTAGAAATATTTATAATCACTGAAAGCAAAATTGTGTTAAGATATGGCTTGTGCAAGATCTCAAATAATCTTTTAGTTACCATATCAAAGAGAATAAGTCTCCCTCAGATGATTTTTTCCAATAAAAGTGCATTGAATATTACATTATTATACCCCTAACTAAAGACTGTTTGGCTTGGAAACTGCAGTCACCACTATTGTAATTTCAAATGACCCCAGGAGTGGAGCTACAGTGTAAAGGGTTGTAACTTAACTTATCCTCAATTTAATTACAAGTTATAATCAATCAAACACATTAAAAAGGGGAAAAAACTAAGTTTTTCTTAGAAAGTATTGACTTTTCCATGAAACCTGTAGATTGAGCTAGCATAAAAAGTTACAACAATATACATATTGATTTATAGATTGAGCTAGCATAAAAAGTTACAACAATATACATATTAAATTGTAGGACAACTCTGGAAAAATTTCACTTAATGAGTTGCGTGAGGTGTGCATCCACTTTAACCTTCCAATCGAGCCAGTGCTGTTGGAGTCCATGTTTGCTTATTGTGATGTGGATGGTGATGGACAGATAAATTATGATGAATTTTCCAACTTCCTTAACTGGAAAGACAAGATGCCATCCGGGGAGTTAAAGAGTACCATAACAGGAGTACAGAAAGATGAAACAGCTGAAGGAGAAGCTAAGGTAACCATGCATGTTTCAAGGTTTTGATTTTTTTCTCAAGATTTTCCGTAATGAAAAAGGGTCCTGTCATTCTGGTTGAGTGGTTTAAATTGCCACTTCATGAAAAACTTTGAGATGCATTCACCTGAAGTTTGCATGTGTTCTCTTCGTATAAGGCTCAGGTCTTAAAGTACTGGGAAAGCCTTGGTCACTAAATTGAATGTGATCTTGAGTTACAAAACTTCCTCTCAAAAGGGATCTTTAAAGTCCAACCAGGGCTGAGTCATTTGAAAAATGATTAGCCGCTAAACCACATTTATATGTATTCAGCTGTCATGGCAACATACACTTTTTTATGTAATAACGCCAAAACAAGCATCAATTTAGCATTTTTTGACAAATTTGTGGCCCTGCATGCCACAAGAAGAATCAAGGATGAACTGTCAATAACTGGCAGGGGTATGTACCCTAGAAGATGATGAGCTAACACAATACTTCTAAGGGGAAGCCCTACTCTAATCCAATGGTCAAGTGGATCCTGTTCATAGATAGGTGCAGTGACTTTATTTTCACCTCTTGAGGTAAATTACTGCTTCAATGATCAACAAACTTTTGACTAGTTCTGCAGTTAGTTGCATAATAGCCAGTCTGTCATTTTGTTGCACCAGGTGGTGAGAGTATAATGTTTTCTGGACCTCTTACAGGAAGAAGAGAAGAAGACAGGTGCATCAACACCCACAAGACTTAAAAAACAGATTGACCAAGCTGTTGGTGGCTGGAAAACCTCTTCATCTCAGTTTAATGAAGTCACAGGCAAGATCAGAACAACAGGTAAGACTTCTATAATCTGGTTACCAACTCTTGACAAGTCATTTTGATGCCTGTGTAACATTACCTCTCTAATAGCAGTCAATTAATAGTAAGTCCTCTTTGTACATCTATGCACATAAGCCTCAGCCAGGGAATGTCCCTCATTTCCCATTCTACTGTAATCTCCTCCAAGTTTCTTTGTGCAAGGCCTCTCTCCTTTTCTCCATTGAATAAAGTACTTGTAATGATTGCAGGAAGTTCATGTTATCAACTAAGTAAAACTATTTCACTTGACATTTAGGTTGGCGAGCATATGGAGTTCCAACCATAAGATCTGATTTACCAGCACCAACAACACGAAGAGTTGCTGACCACACTGTAGGTCCATTTTCAAAAATGAATACATACGAGTAGAAAAATGTTATCAATATTCTTTGACAAACCATCCCACAAATTTTAAACTTTTTCACTGATAAGATCCAATTTTTTAATATAACTTTGATTGCATACATCTTTGTGTAGTAAGAGACAGGAGTCTACCTGTCACTGATCAGCATTGAATTGTACTATTCAGTTGAAAGATACATACCAGATAATTTTTCAATCCAGGAAAAAGAAAAATTGGCCTATATACACCTGACATTGATCTTGCTATTCTGCTGATGACAATAACAACGAAAGTGCTCATAGAGAAAGTTAATTGTTCCCACAGAATTATGGAGATGAATCTGATGCCTATGGCCTTATCAACCCATCAATTTACAGCAATCATGGAGTTTATGAGAAGGATTTCTTTAGCCCCAGAGACCAGTATGAGGTAAATTTAATTAAACCACAAGTTACTTAATGTTCCTTGATAGACTTTACATAATAAAGAGGGTCAACACTAAGTACCTGTTCAATAACTATTTTATAATCCAAATGCATTAAGTAGAGTACAAATAGCACATGAATTGAGTACAAAATATTGCCATATTGTACAGTTGGCTATTTTGTACTGTAAAAGAACCTGTTTAAGCAGTGGGCTGCATGCCCCATTTCTCTTGCTTCTCTCACTTTTCAAGAAGTGCACATGAAATAAAGCAGTCAGATGATAAATAACTTATCACATGTTTTGTTGCAAAGTACAGTGTATCACTGAGTATTTTTACCCATTTTTTTTATTTTGACCTTCCTTACTGGCTCATCAAAATAAAGCACAAGTCATAACAATACTCGATATTACACAGCAAAACTTCTATTAAAATGGATAACTCAAGATAAATTTGCATCAGTACCTTTTATTCAATAATCCTGGAAAGTTTCATCAAGCTTGTTGATATTCAGCTGAAATTACAGACTTTTGTGTACATAATTTGTAAGGATGGTATATCCTTAATTTCTTTTTTTTTTCCATTTTAATTGTCACTAAATAACTTGACCATGTATTCTCTTGTTATGAAATTTGTGTAAATTTTCATGTTTTTTTTCTCCTTTTTCTTATTGCACTCCAGTCACCATTTTGGAGAGTGGCTTATTTTACTTTGATTATTTAGAGAATTTTTAAAAAGTATGCCTTAGATCACTTAAGAGGCCTTTTCATTGTAGCATTTCTTCACTCCTGCAAGTGAGGCATGAGGCTGAAATTAACTTTTTAAAAAAAATGCTCTACACATTATTTATATAGTCTTTTTTTAAACAGATAAGGAGAATATTTGATGGGATTGGAGTGGAGATGACAAGTGATGCTTTTGAAAAGATCTGGGAGGAGGCTAGCACAAGACATCCCACTGGACTGGTAATGACAACTTTATTCCACTCTCTATACTCTTCTTCTTACCCAGCTCAAGGTTAATAACTAATCGACCATTAATTTTGGTGATCACTTGATGCTCTCAGGCCCTGCATTCACTTTTCTTCAACTGAACAGCCTCAAGAGGTTTTTTCTAACTACTAATCAAGGGTAGATTGTTTCTGAAAACACAATTTCACATTTTGAATAAAATAACTTTCACTAAGTATTTTCTAGAAGTTCAACTCTAGTTTCCTTTCCCATCAAGGGAAGTTTGTTTCCAAGAACAAGAAAGTACTTTTTGGATGAAATAACTTCCACTGAGTATTTTCTATAAGTTCAACTCTAGTTTCCTTTCCCATCAAGGGAAGTTTGTTTCCAAGAACAAGAGAGTACCTTTTGGATAAAATAACTTGAACATTTTCCTCAAGTTCAACTTGTGTTGTTGTTGTTGTTGTTGTTTTTTTTTCAAACTCTAACTTGGCTTACCATTGTCTCTGCTCTAGGTCAGTGTAGAGACATTCAGAGGAGTGATGGATGAAGTTAATGCCAAGAAACTTGTTGAAACCCAAATGGCATGAAAACAGGAAAACATGAAAACAACAAATTGACTTTCCCTAACTTTAATAAAAATGTAGCAGTGTTCAACACCAAAAATTGGACTAACTTTTTATTTTTCGATTTTCATTTGATACAATAGAGATCGTTGGTAACTAACAGTATTAATTTCTTTAATAATTAAAACTTACTAGTGAAATTGTATCTTTTTTTAAATATTCTTATTTTCCCATTAAATCTGTATCCATTCCATCTACCTATTTACATTTATTGAGCAGTCTTGAATTTGTGTCATTTGAATGGAAAGTAATAAATTAAGATAGCAACCTGTGTTAACAATGATTGCAGCACATGAAAATTTTGAAACATAACTTCTAGAATAAAATCTTATTGAATTGAAAAATATATTGATCTATGCAGTTCATATCAATAAGACTTATTTCAGTTAAGAGAGGCAATCAAACAACTCATCCCCCACATATTCTTTGGAGAAATCAAATGAATTAGTTTGAAGATTGAAAATTATTTCAAAAGAAAAAATTCTTAAAGCCAATACAACAATTATTATCACAGACAAAGACTACCCTGGTATCATGTTCAATCTTCAAATAATCAAATGAATATATTGAGTAAAAATATAACAATACTATGACATCCACCTAACCTCAAGCTTGATAAGTACTGATCACTGTGCCCATTTCCTCACACATTCCTAATAAATTCAGCAGCAAAACTTTCAATAATTTAGTGTTCACTACACAGATTTCTCCATTTCATGGATGAACTTTGCTATCATTAATAGTTCATTTAGACTAACTGAAGTCACATCAAAATTCATATACCTGTGATAGCAATGAAAGTTTGAGATGAAAAGATTTTCTATACCTTATTTTCACAATTTTGTCACACAAAAAATTCTTACCAGTACAATAGCATAATACTATCAAAGGGTGATTTTAAATGAAGGTTCCAGAAATGTTAGATACCTGGTACCTAAATTTTGACTACAATTTAGCTTCATCAACAAGTAACAAAAAAAGAGGAAATAATGAAGTCAGTATTTCCTGGTACTTTACACTCATTACTTTAAGCATTTTATTCCATTAAATAATCGAAAGGTACCTGTACATTTAGTTCACACTAAATCTTAATATTATACCCTTTTCCTCAATGACTGTTACAAAAAAGCAAGGCAGTTATTAGCAATGCAAAGCTCCACAAATCCTACAAGAAAAAAGAAAAGACAAAACCAACAAGACATTCCCTTCCATTTTTTTCCCCTCTTCATTATCTCACCTTTAATTGGTTGAACCACAGGCCACTCAGATGTATGTGGTATATACAATCAGCATTTTCATATAATGCATGAGAATGTTTCAAAACTAAGAGTAGGATGGATGTTGTGTATGAAAAACAATTTCACCAAGCTTGACCAAGGAACAGTGATTTCTTCTCACTGCCATTACAAGAAGAGTCAGCTTCTACAGAGTTATGAAGATGACTTTGTGTGTTAAATCTTGGTGCACATAACAAAAACTGCAACATAAACATCTTCAAGAGAGATTTGTTCAAAGTCCCACTTCAGGCACAAAACCTTTTGATTTCCTTCCATAACCTGATCAAATCCAACAGACAAAAGAAATGCCTTGGCAGGGTTTGATGAATGTGTCCATAGCCTTTGAAGAAGAGGATCATCTATTGATGTCGTCTTGCCTACCATTGTATTCTTGAGCTGAAAAATAATTGAAAAAAAGTTAGGCTAACATCTGCTGAGTTCAAAAGAAATGCTTGAGGGGGGGGAATATATGAAATTCATCCATTTGAACAGTGGGATGAGGAGTTAAAGTTTCAACAGGGAGTGATGAGCTTATGACCTTGGTGTACTCCCCAAGAGGGAAAGGGTGAACCAAATATTATAGTGATCTAACTTTCAATTCTTAATTAATTGAATAATGTAATTAAAATTATTTACAAACCAGATACAACAGTGGCTCCAGGTATTGGGAAGTCACTTCTTTTATTGTCTGACATTGAGCAGCCGAGAGTTCTACAATTAAAAAATAATCATAACTTTAGTGTTCCATTACTAGTCTTAAACCCAAATTAAAACTTCATACAAAAAAAGGTGTCAAAGATGAATCACATTCAAACTCACCAACAAGAGCTTCTGCAAGAGCAGTGCAACAAAGTAACAACCCATCATCAGAATCTTGGGAGAAAGTCAAACTGCCTTCTCCTGAATCATCAATATTGAATCCTATCAGAAGTAGAAGTTCCTTGAGAGATCCAAAAGCTGGTCCAGCCTTGGTTTGGAATTCTTTCATTTCAAGTGGCTTAAAACTCTTCTTTTCAACAGCTGATAATGCTTTCTCCAACTGTTATTTTGTTAAATAATTATCATGGTAAGAAAAATACCCACCTAAGTTAAATATCAATTAGCTAAAATGCCACTCTGATGAATTACACATTACATCTAAATACACTCGGAAATAAACATTAATTTCATATTTCTATGAAAATGGTGCGCCCCTCCCCAAATAATGAATCAGTGTCTACTTAAGACAGAAAATCAAAGAAAAGGACATTCACAGATGAGTATAAAATAAGAAACTTGCTGCACGGACAGTGAATCTAAAATATTAAATATGCATTAGGGTATCCCTTTAAGGCCCTGTTTATATGGAGAAAAATTGTCCTGGGTAGAAGAGTCACTCATCCACCTGAGCTACTCTGGGCCAGCCAAGTTAACTAACTTTCCATGACTTGGCCTGCTCTTAGCTCGGGGAAAGAGGTAATTTTTTTTTTTCATATGAACACTCGCCAACGTTGACTCAGCTGGGAGGGTAACCCTCTTACCTTGGACAACTTTTCTCCTCATAAAAAATGGGTTTAAGTTTAATTTTCTATTGTTAGCATTTCCTCTTTCTTCTTGATACTGATCAGGTTAGGCAACAAGAGGACTTTGTGGTCAAGAAGGTAAAATCTGGAATGGCTTAGAAGTAGTTACATGCCCAACTGTTGTGCATTTTAACCAACCTGTTCAACATTTACTGAACATTTAATAAGAAACTCTCACCATATCCCTGAGAGGTGCAACTGCTTCTGGATAGGAAAGAATTTCCTTATAGAGACTAATGATCTTGCCAAGGCGTGGAGACTTCAGAAGGTCATCAAAGACAGCTGATAGGGCCTTATCTAAAAGATGTTTTTTCATACAAAAAACTGAGTGAGCAATCCTTTCACTTGTTGAATTTCAAGAATTCCAAGTGATTACAAGTAGTATTAAGTCTTAGAGGTACTACAGGAGATAAATTTTTACTGGTTACCGCCTAAAAAGGAAAACACTGATCATAATATCTTAATTGATAAACATCAAAAGAAATTCAGGAAGTTAAAAATTTTTTTGATGAACTGGGCTAAGAAAACAAGGAGGGTTACTTCCTTTTGTCATTTAAACTATGGATTTCCAAGCATCTCCAGGCCTGAGAAAAGCCATAACAACACAGGTGAAAAAAATTAGGATATTTTTTCATGAGTGTTTGACATTGCCAATCAGATGCTGACACCTCACTCGCCTTTCACACCACTTGGTCAGGTTGATGAATGAACAGATTTTTCACTTGCAGACAGTGATGTTCAAACTTTTCTAGAAGGGGAAGAACACTAAAATACAAAAAGAAAAACTGAAAATTATATTTGTGGCTTTGGTGATGGCATTTCTTGCAGCTGAGAACAAAAATCATCAACTGGAAGATTCACCACAGGCCAATTTTGGCTGTGTACCTAAAAGATTTCTTCTATCGGTAAGGACAAAGTCAATAACTGAGAATTTTGTAGCTTGAAAATTATGCCCATTGTTGTTTTTGTAGTGATTAAACTAATTTTTTTCATCTTGAGCCTTAGTTCCACCGCACTTTACGATTTTTAAGTGAGGATTGTTCATCCCTTTACTTTCATTCATTAATGAAGTTGAATTTCCTTGCCAGTAATGGCTATTGTGTTTATATGATAAACAAAATAATACATGGTTGTTTGAAGATATGGAATTTCTCTACTCATATTCAACTCAGCATCTCACTCATTCACTATAATCACCTGTGAGCTATCAAGTTAAACACATGAAGACAAATTCCACATCTATCTACACCCATGTATTATTCCCTATTTCTGCCCTGGTCTAACTGCAGGATATTCAAAAAGATAATTAAAATAATAATAATTCAATAATTCAAAAGCAACAACTCTTTATAGTTACCTTTCTGCCCATCTGGTTCATCAAACAAATATTTCTTTCCAATCTCTCCTCCTGCATCTGTCTCATCAGGTAGAACCAGCTCAAAGGTTCCCATGTCTGGGTCAAATTTTACTTCATAACAAGCATATCCTAAAATTGTATTACTAGGAAGTTCATATGAACGGTGGTGTTCCAATTCTATTGAGCCAGTCAATTTGATGAAGAACTTGGGTTTACCAACACTCACACTTGCATCACCTGAAAATTTAAACCATAAGCTAAGTTTTTTTTTTTTGGTACATTTTTATAAGGCATATGTTGAAAAAAATTGTGAGTCAAGAGTAACTAAACCATGAAGTTTGTACCTAGGATATTATACTGCTAGTTGAAATTTCAAGTGAGACAGCCCAAAGACATCATTTGAAGTCAAATAATTGTAAGTGTGTGACCTCAGAATGCCTTAGTGCTTCACCACATAATCCCCAGCCAAAAATTATCAGGTTGCATTTCCTCCAAACTGTTCTTTATAAATTTCCTTAGGTGCTGAAAATGAGAATTTGTTTAACAATCAAGATCTTTTCAGTTGTTGATTACTTCCTTTATTCTCATATTCTTAACAAGTGTTTCAGGGGTGATAAAGTAAGGAGACATTAGATGTTAATCACTCTTCAAAGAGTTAAAAGCAGTGAATATAGCTGGTTGATGGCCTCTTGAAGGCCACTGGTATAAACAAGCCTAACACATGAATTTGGTAGACTGGCAATGGTACTTGTGCCAAAAGTTATGGGAAGGAGAAAAGTGCTGAAGTTAATTTTTGTCTCTGCAGCATGCTGAGAAGAGAAAAAGGTACAAGTAGCTGCCGACTAATGATTACAATTACAATGGCCATGTCTTTTTCTTGTCTTGTTATGGTGAACTAGATTCATTACATTGAATAATTTTATTACGATGTGCCTCTCTTGGGGAAACCTTGGATGGGGTTCATCCCAAGAAAGACAGATGGTTTTATGTGTTACCCCTCCTAAAACTTAACCCTTTGACTCCCTTCAAGTTAATAGCATCTAATCTCTCTTTACAACATCACCCCTGAATCAAGGGAAATGATTGCCAGCTAAAGAAGCTCTTGACTGTTGAACAAATTCTCCTTATAGGCTCCTTCGGAAATACACGGAGAACAGCACAGGGAATATGCTTAATGTTGCTACAGTAAGGGTGGAAAAGGTTAAAACCAGTATTTAACCCACCATGTAAGCTTCACCCCTTTCTATATATTCTACATTTATTTTTTTTTTCCTTCCTTTCCAGCAAAAGAACCAGAAAGAGTAAGCTTCAAGTGTATTTCATGAAACAATATTTCATTACTGTTGTGATATCTATAAAACAGAAGACTGTCAAACCTTCTTCCTTGGAATCTGAATCAAGATCTGTATCTCCTTTAGTTGCAACTGTTTCATAAATGACACAGATACTTCTTCTCTGTTTGGCAAGAATGTACTGCACATATTCATGATCCAGATTCAATGTTGTGTCTGCTAGAACCTTCTTCAAGTTATCCCAAGTGACTTCTCTTTTCAATACAGTTCCCACATCCATGCTGATTGTAAATGAGTCTATTGCAGATGCATCAATTCCAAACTCTGATGCAATTTTGCCTCCCAGTTTACCACTTACATGGAACTTTGGTTCATTTTTGTAATCAGAGATGAAAGTGGATTTTTCAATATGACCTTTGATAAGAACTGGCTGAGGAACAAAAAAAGGAGAAATTTCTGGTAATAAGAATAGCAAAAGGATTTGCACGTCATTCCTGTGTATGGTGCTGATCAGAAATACTTTGCTCTCAAATTCAAATATCAAGGAGACACCAACAGAAGGTATTAAAAGCATTTTCAAAAACATCATCCAGAAAACTCGAGTTAAATGGACAGGTGAGCAAAACAGCTGAAGAGCATTATTTCTTTTCAAACCCATCCTTTCTTAAAATGTTTCCTTTAATAAACTGCTGATTTAGAAGCTGCCTTTATCAAGGTGGCATTATCATACAGGGCCTAATACAGGCACAAATGCAACTAAATTTTTCACTTTGGCTACCAATCCTGAAAATTAGTTGCCAAATTGGCAACTAGAATGTTTCATCATAACCTTACTTAGAGATATAGTGAATTTAAAAGATTTGCAAAAGATAAATCCATGGCAAACTTCCTCATTAAGTCTGTTTCCAAAACGTAGCACATGCACCTCAATCAATGACTAGATGCCATTTTGGATTTAGGATGTGGGTGAGCTTGAAGGTTGTATATCTTCCATCCTAGCGTCCACTCTGTAGCAGGTGAAAGATCTTTTTCCTAACTTAATTTTGGAGGGGGGCTTATCTAGTGCCTTGACAGTGTAAAAAAAGGTTTTGTTTGTCTTTGAAAATGGCAACCACCATTTTTTGAATTGGCTACCACTTTGAAGAATTTAAGAGCCAAGAGGCTATCAGAAAAAGAAAAAAAAATTAATTTTACACCCTGTCATAAGATATCTTTTAAATGATACCAAGAAAACAGTCCTAGTAACCAGGCCTTCACTGCAATTTTCTAATCCTTTTCTAGGCAAGTTCATGTCCCGTTATTCCACTGGAAGATCAGACCCTTCTTAATTCTATAAAACTGGTATATTCTGTGCAAATTAATATTAAACCTGATACCTTTTTTTCAAATGTGGTCTTAGCTAAAAACACCTTATAAATTGAAAATCATACACTGCAATCAGCCAAAACATTCCAAGAAACAAAGCTTCTGCTGTATTTTCTGATCCTTTTCCAAGAAAGTTGGTATTCAGTCATTTCATTTGAAGACATTTCTCTCAATGTGCATGTAAATATTATGACCTGATTATTTCTTTGAATTTGGACATGAGGCACGACAAATTTTTAACAAATATACTATGTAGAAATATAGTATATAGATATATATAACATATATATATATGTATAGACACCCATTTTCAAAAACATTTCAATTTGAAAAAAATATATGACATATATAAAAATTTTGTTTATCATCAAAAAGTGTCTCTTTTTTTATGAGAAAACAGGGATAGCTGCGTAGTATTGTTGAGTACCCACTCATGTGTGGGAGAGGCATCATATGATATTATCACAATTTGATCACACCTTACATTCGCATCGAGTCCGAAATCGTCACTTTTTGGGAGGATTATCTGTCATGATACTAAAAATTTTTGTGAACGTCTCTTTCAAGGCACGCTTGATAAAGGAAAGGAGCCACTTTAGAATACCCGGCCACTCGTTTACATGTCATTGAATAAGAATAATGTCTATTGTGTTATGCCTCGATCTCCCAAGCCTTCCGACAAATGTAAGTGACCGGGTATTCTGCAGTTTAGATGAAGGAAAAAAATCCTGTAACGAAAAACACCTTGAATTCGAAAACTTCAATTTATTAAAATACAAAGCTCGTACTCGCGAACCTCCCCAAGAAGCAAGATTTAAAAGGCTCACAATGGCCAACATATGTTTCTATATGTCCATATCCTACACACCGTTTTGGGTGAGGGCGTATTATCTCCCCTAAAATCTTATGTTAATATTTTCTTCTAACCTTCGTTAACAGCTCATTCAAAGTAAAGGATGTAGACTTGTATGTGTCTGCCTTCCAAAACCAACGGCTTCTTTTTCTCGTTACAACACATAGAATACTACAACGTGTCGACGTATTTAAATCAAGAATTGGACGAAGGGTCGATCGCCCTGTGTCTTTGATAAACTGTTTGGAACAGGCTTCGAACAGCGCCATGTTTACCATGAAAATAGAAGATGATTTAAAAGCATGCTGGGAAATGTATGCAGTGACATCTGGCTGGTTGCTCGTCGCAAATATCCCATTAAAACTGACATTTTCATGCTCCTGACAATCACGCTTTTTGTCCAAAAATGCTCAAATCATGCTCATGTTTCAAAATTATGTTCTTTTGGTTTGAAAAATTCTTTGTTTTCTTTTAAAGAAAAAAATACATGAAAGGCATCTTGAGTGTTTTACGTCATCTGATTAAAGTGAAAAACATCTTTCTGTCTCTTTTACACCTACATAAGACTTGGTAGTCATAAAAATTACATTTTCCTCGACCGTCTAAACACTTGTAACGTTTTTTGCCAACAACTGACCCGTTGGTTGGTCTTATTACTCAGGGACTTTTTGCTCGGGGAAGGGGAGGGGGACTGTCTTGAATGTTTGTGCAAGTGTGGTTTTTGTTACCTTAAAATAAAATAACCTAAAATAAACTTATGACAATGCTTGTTTCTATTGACCTTCTCTCCGGCAAATTCATGTCAGGTGCGTATCTAAAATTGAACATTTTGAAAGTGGAAAAAAATATAAATAGCATCAAACATTGATTAAAAACATATATTTTATGTCTACAATCTGAATTAAAGTCCTCTAAAAATCAGACGCAGTTGATCTGTTTTTCCATTAATGACAATTGAAGGACTTGGAAGCATATCATTAACAGGTGGATAAAAACGTTATTGTGATCAACACACAATCATAACTGAGCAATAGAAATCCTGCCCTAATCGGGGAAAGAAATATATTGTATCGTTTACGGCGGCCTAGAGTAAAAATTTTGAATCTATCGTGGGAACTTTTTGAGTATAAAGACTGACATATTTCTGATATATTGACTGATATGTTTCTATTGATGACGGTGTATTTTTAAACAGTTTAAATTTATATCCAGGGACATTTTGGGAAGACAACTACGGATAAAATATGGCAGACTGCTTGAGAAAAGGATTAATGATAATCAATGCAGGACACCCTCTCGAACTTGCCAGGACTGTATGACGTAGTTGGCAGTTCAAATGCGCATTAAAAGAAAACAACGGTATCTAAGGTAGTTTCTACTGGGATGTTACTTGAAAAGTACGATTTAACTGCGTGTGGGGCTGAACAGTTTTAATTGAGACCTAATATCTCTCATTGCAATAACAGGTAACTTACAGGAGAAGGGAATCAAACGTTTATTGTGCTGCGCAATGATGGCGACAACAAATTTAATCGGAGGTGAAATACAGTTACTTTTGTAAGATTTGCGTTAACTAACTAATTGGTAGATTATAGTTGCATTATCGACCAATTTCTTTCACAGCGGTGCACATTTTCTTCTCCGTCACAGCATTTCTTGGGAATTCTCTGATCATTGTTTCCCTTTACAAGGAATCTTCCCTTCATCCACCGTCCAAACTCTTGTATCGTTGTTTGGCAACAACTGATCTTTTGGTTGGTCTTGTTGCTGAGCCTCTCTGCGCTACTGTGAACGTTTTGGATTCCTGGACTCTCGAACACCGAGGAATTTTCCGATACGCAAATGAAGCGGTCGTCATCACAAGCTTAGTATTATGTGGAGCGTCTTTATTGACGATGACGGCCATAAGCGTAGACAGATTGCTCGCCCTGTTGTTGGGGCTGAGATACAAACAAATCGTAACTTTGAAGCGGACATATATCGTTGTAGCAACTCTTTGGGTTTCAACTCTTGTTGCTTCTTTGTGTGCCATATTTGACTACCATATAATGGTTTTTAACGGCAGCATTTTAATCCTAATTTGCCTTGTTATCTCAATCACCTCATACACAAAAATCTTCTGCGCTCTTAGTCAACATCAGGCTCAAGTACAAGATCATTCTCAACAACAGCCGATCCAGCCAAGTTTTAGTCATAGTCATTAGTTGTTTGTTATGCACCATATGGTATAGTGGAAATAGTGCTCAGTAAAACATATTCATCGCACTTATGGGTCTTTAGGGAAATAACAATTGTCTTAGTCTATTTTAACTCGACGTTGAATCCGTTCCTTTACTGCTGGAAGATCAGTGAAGTCAGGCAAGCAGTAAAGCGGACAATCAGGCAAGCACTTTGCTGTCCATGGAGTTAGATCCCCTTTGAGTCACATCAGTTAACATTTTAAAACCCGACTTAAGAGGTCACAGGTTTCCTTTTTTTTTTTTTTACAAGGTCGTAGGATATTTTATTGGAAGGAAGAAATAAGAGACTTAATGAAGTCGTTGCGCAAGCTGTTGTTGATAATCTTCATTTCCTTATCTTAACCCTTTAACTCCCAGATAAAAATTTGTAATTCTCCTTAATCTCAACCATACAGTTCTTATGTTAGTTCAGAGAATTTAGTATTGGATCAACTAATTATTCCCAAACTGGTATTTTTCTTTATTCTCATCACTTATCTGGTTGATATTGTATTGATATTGCAAGGAGAAATTCTGTCTTGGTCACTCATGAGAGTTAAAAATTAAGAATATTTTCCAAACGACGTCACTTGTCCCGAATACGACAGTACATAATTAAAAAAAAAGGTAAAAAAAAGGTATCCAAGCATAGTGTAGAAAGGAAAAAGATATTTATTTCATTTTACTGTCTTGACTAAATTTCTTGTTAATATAAAAGTATGGGGTGAAAATGACATCTTTTAGAGTTATTTTTACTGACAGTAATGAAAGCGCTCTACTGTCACACGGCTAACTGTAAACTTAATTAATGCTTATTAATTTTAGAGATGTAATTATTACTCGTAAGCAAATGTGTGACTCAGCGTTAAAATAAAATTGATCACCGGTTCTTAAAGAGTTCTTTTTAAAAATTTTGGTTTTTTTCGAAATTTAACGTATCACTTCACCCTCTTTGCTCTGCTACAAATGACTTTCTTCCTAAGAAGACGAAGTTTCATCTTATTTGTGATTTCATTATGTTCGAGTCTTGATGGAAATTAAATCCTGAATTAAACTTTACCTACTATACAAACACGTAGATGTGGCACACATTAGTTCCCGCCTTGAGGGCAATCTCATATAACGGGCTCTGAAATAGCTAATAATTAAAACATAGGTGTAGCAGAAGGGGAAGGAAGAGTGGGTACAGAGAACCAGTGGAACAGTGATTTGGTACCACACATTCATTTCAAAAACAATTTTCTGCTGAAAACCAAAGTGATTTCAGAGTGAGAGAAGAGACGCTCAAAACAAGTTAGTAATCCGCTTGATTTGCTTAAAACTACTTTGCTTAAAAATAACGCCCAGCCGGAAAAAAAAATTTTATTATGAAGAATAGCAACAAAGCTGGGGACGTTCTCGGTGACTCACGACAGCGTTACCGAACGTTAAGAACCAATCAGATGGCAAGATTCGTTACCGTGCCCTTTAAGAAAAAAAAAATATTTAGATCAACCCACTCTTTCGAAGTTACTTCGGAAAGACAGGGGATGTGCTCAACATTTTTCAATCGACGCCAAAATTAGTCATTTTACTTCACTATTGTTTTGTAGAGGAGGCCAAGAAAATCTATCGACTCGCGTGGGCATAGATTGTTTCTACTTGTTAAACCCTTTGTCACACGACTTTAGGGCTTTATATTCATTGAAACGATGCAATTCTTGAATTTCCTTTTTCAAGCACTCGGTCTCCTGCTTAAAACCTGTTCAGCCTGTCTTTTCGTGTACACGTCCCATACAGCGTCCACTGAATTTTTTAATCGGTCTTTCGTCTTTGGTTCCTTGCAGATACAACAAATGAAATCAACCGAATTGTTTCTTCACCACAATGGTTTTGTAAGCGATCGAGCGCAAAGTGCGCACGGAAGAGCAAACGCACAGCGAGGGGGGAAAAGTTAAATCCTCTGGGGCTTTTATTTCACTCGCATAAAATCTTTAGTTCCGACACGCGCGAGCTGAAGCAGAAAACAAAATTACAAAAGTATTTTTCCGACTTAGATCTCACTCTCAAGGCAACCCGGAATTTTAAGAGCAAAGTCACTGTTTGCGCATCTAAAACCAATTTTCAGTGATTTAGCACTGACATTTCTAGTCGTTCATTTCCAGTTCGTTTTTATATCTCCTCTATCCGATTTATCCACTGGCTCCCGAGTGTCTTTCATTCATTTGCAATTCGTACCAATCTTCTCCGTCCTTAGTCATCCTTTTCCGCTCTGGTTACTTTTCACCTATTTTTGTGTTGTTCTACCTTATCGAACTTATATATTGTAGTCATTTGTAGTCTTCTCCAGTCTTGATCATTCATCTTCCTTCTTGTTTGACTTCTAACTATTATCCTGAAGTCATTTACAATCCCTGTCAGTCTTCATCCATAGTTATCCTTGTTGCTTTTAGATTTCATTGTCGCCTAGCTCTTTTGTGTTTGCGCGTCTTACCAAACAGACATTTGGTAGATTCCTCCGAATTAAGGAAAGGTTTCCGAGGCACAAAATCTAACACTGCATGTCACGATAAAACGTCTTCGAGTTGCAAGAATTTTGCAACTCTAAAAAGTGTGCTCTTGTAAACCTAATATATACTCCTAAAAAGGGCTATGATAGATATCTACACCAAGGGTAGTTACCTCCGCCGTTCTTGTAACAAAGATACGGAAAATGCCAAATATCCCTCAGCCGACAGCATAACTGATACACGACGCTGTGAAATCTTTTTCCGAGGTCAATTTTTCGCGCTCTTCATTATGGCTTGCATCGGTGCTTTCGCTCACCGTTATAACAACAGCTTTGGACCTTATTCGTCATTAGTTCAACTTCTTACTTTAAATCAGCTTCCCAAATTCAAGCTCACGTCTTCAAATGAATCTGCTTCCTTGCTGACGGAAACCAAAGCGAGAAGTGATAATGATGTCATAGAAGGTAATGATGCAATCTGGTGCTACGTCATTGATCAACTGACTGTTATGGCGGGAAATTGAGTGTAACTGACTAATAACCCTAACTCTCTCTTAATCGAGCAGCTCTGTGATCAATTTGCTTCTTTATTCAAAATTAACGAGCTCAAAGTGACCGACCTTAATTTCTTAATCTGCTTCCTCACACAACACTTTCGACATCGATCTCTTAGCAATTCACACGACACGTCAGAAATGAACCCAGTAAAGGCCTGTTTCTGTGGCTCACTAGTAGGTCACAAAACCGCCATTAAAATGGCATCACAGACACAAAAATCCACATAATACGACCGTTCAACTGCAAACTCCAATCGGCTCATGTGATAATCCTATCCGCCCCTTAGTAAAGTTTACATACTCAAAACAGTGTATGTGCGCGCGCTTTGCCACATCGTTTCACTGCCGATCTACCACACCAGTTCAGTCGTCTCTTTTACAGTCCCTATCAGCACGTCTCTGCTACGCTCTAAGAGTCTTAGTAAGTACAGAGCTACAAAAAGAAAAAAAAAGTTAAAATCCGAATAAACGGCACGATTTTACTAAAAAATTATGAAATTAAAAAACTAGATCCAACGTAACCTCATGCTGTCAATTTACAGCAGTTAACAACTGAGAACAAGATCAATTCTGAAACTGCACTATGCGAAAATGAAGCTTATGGCCAGGGAATGAACAACTCCTTGTCGCGTAGAAACAAAAAAAAATTACTTTAACTCCTCAACGGTGAAGTGACGTAGATCGAAACTAAAATAACAAATAATTACAAAAGTTACACAAAATATGAGATAAAGAAACAACTAACAACACGACGGGAAAGAGGACTATAAACACTTACGTTGTTACGGCCACAAAAGAGACCCATATTAATTCTGCAAAATGCAAAGGCCAAATGGGAAAAAGATGAGCGAAAACGGCGTTAAGCTATCAAACCGTGCTCAGCGCGAAAAAGAAGAAGACAGTCATATTGCAGATATATATATATCGATAAATTATGCGAGGTAGCGAGAGGGCGGCGATAAAAAATGACGAAAAGAAAAAAGTGCTAATGAAACAATAGGTATAAACATCGGCTCGTTATCGGGTGAAAAGACTTAAATAATAAACTTTGAACTCGTGAAAAATCCAACATGAAAAAATTCCGCACTTAGAACTTACAAAGTCTAAACGGCTTTTTTAATTTTGATGTGACAAAAAAAAATAAGAGAGAGAGAGCGGTATGATTCGTGAAGGAGGCCTATGCACGCATTGCACGCACATTTCGTGGCTTCGATTTGAATAACAACAGTTTGAGCAAAGTAGTCGATAAACACGATCCTATCTCAGCTTGGTTGTAACTGCGGTATGTGTAGTAGCATCTCTTGGTAGTTTTTTTTCTTTCTTTTCGCTGTTTGCATGAACTACCAAGCGCCACAAGGGACTCTTATACGCCTAAAGATCCTTCATTATGCAGATTTTGTGCTTTGCACGTTTAGTCTAGTTCAGTTGGCGTCCAAGTTCAAGTTGTATCGTTTCTTGTAAATGAAAAACGCGGAAAAGGTGTGTATGTTTTGCTTCTTGATTTTGTACCTTCGGCTTTTGTATTCGATTGTATCTGTAACATTTTTTTAACCGTGGAACCGACTCTTGAGTAACGACATTTTCTTTTTAAAACTGACAAAGAGTGAATGTATCGTCAGTGAACTGTTCGAGAATAAAGTGAAATTTGTGTCCGTGAATTCGTTTGTGTGCGGATCTCATCTAAGGTTTTGTACTTTTTTGAACAGGTTCCCATTGCACATAATAGGGAGAGAGAACAGTGTAATTCCTTATTTCACATAATTTCCCTGAAATTCCTAAAGGAAGGCCAGAGAGCAAAGGAAGGAAAAGTACTCAATTGTACGCACACATTGCCATTGAGGAAAACTTCCAAGAAAGAAACAAAAAAATGAAAATAATCAAAGTTGCTGCAAATTCTAGCCAGATGAGTTTACCGTGGTGTGATATTTTCTCCAAAGAAGGATCGACTAAAATGGCTCTGGAACAGCTCTCAAATTCTGAAAATCACACCCCCACGAGGTAAGACGCAAAAATTAACTTTCCGATTTTTTGGCGTTTTAGCATTTCAACATTCAGTCACAGCATGAACGTTCCGCAAATTTTTTTTAATCAAAGCCCACGGAAAGGTCTGCTTTCGTCGGTGAATGGGAGTAATCGTCAATCTTTT